ATGAAAACCTAATCAACAGAAACGTGTATTTTTAATATGTGATGGTGTTTTGTGCAGTGTCTAGTTCATAACGTAGCGAGTGGTTACATTTTGGGAGTGTATGGTACATTGCCTGGGATAATTCACGTCTACAGTTTCCTTTGTTTTGCTCAAATATAATGAGGCGTAGCTAGAATTGCCTGAATCTGCTGTGACTGTGAAAGTTTGTTCCTTTATTTTCAATTTCTATCCCTTTAATTGTGGTACAATTAAAAAAACAAACAAAAAAAAACCCCTACAACACAAAACTTAAAGATGGGGTAAGATGCATTTCAGTTGAAGTTCTTTTATATGAACATAACTGTGTTCACTTTGGAAAATGGGTTGTATACTGCAAACCAAAGGCAAAAGAGAAAGCCACTAAGATTGTTTTAGTATGTAAACAGGAAAATTGGGCTATATCTTGAAACCAGATCTTATTGTTTCCAAAGAATACTTAACGTCTTGAGTCAAGATAGGTAGGAAAAAACGACAACAATGTATCACATAGCTTGTCATTCATAAAAGTACTTGTGGTTTGTAAATTTCTTCATATTACCTGGTATACCGACAGGTATTCTTAACTGAATGGCTTGGATGCTTTAGACTGAGTAACTGTTTTGGCCTTTGTGCACTCTTTGCCCCCAAACCTCAGAAACTTAGAACTGTTTTGTTGGAATAGCTGTGCATGCAAAGGTCAAGGCAAAAAGTTGTAAAACTTTTAATTTCGAGGTGAACTTGTAGGTCAGTTGAGATTTTATCTGCAAAAATAACCAATTTTTCTTTAGGTGTCGTATAGTTTTGTGAATGATTGTAACAGAGATGCAGCACAGAACAAGCTGCTGAAATAAGGTTTCAACATACATTAAATAAGAAGTTACAGCACATCAGTGAAATAGTTATACTACTTATTGTTTGTTCTTTCCTTTTAAACTCTACTGACATTTAAAATCCAGTGATACAGAAGCATCAGCCTGCCAGTTTGCTCTTTTTTTGTTTTTAATTTTGGCACTTCAATGGTTGCCTTTATTCTGTGGGTTCAAATGTAAGTATTAATACTGAGGGCTTGTCTCCTTTGGATTAGATTTGTTGGTATAGGTGACATATAGGGCAGCTCTATTTTTAGGGAAAAGACAGATTCTAACAGCAACCTTTTTTTGCTGGCATAATTTAACTATTGAGAGTGGTGAGATTAGTAACCAAAAGAGACATTTGCAGGTAAAACTGTGTCTGTTCTAGTACTTTTTTGGTACACAGGTATCATTTACAGCTGAGATTTTCTTTATCTTTCAGTCAACTGTACACACAAACTTTCAAAACTCTCTACCACATATTGGTTCCTCTGTATATACTTCATGTATGAAAGTGGTAACTGTGATTTATTTTCAGTTCTGAATGACACTAATAGTCTGCTAACAACGAAGCAGGAAAATAAAACAGTTATTACACAAATTCTTCATTTCTGAAGTGGAATTTTTACATTATGTTGAAATAGTGAAATATAAAGGATGTTTGAATTTGTGATATGTCAAAGATTGAAAGTTCGTTAAAAATCAGTGAACACAACAAGACAGAATAATCAGTCAAAGGCAGGAAACTAGGAAAGTAAGGGGGAAGACTCTTTAGAGCGCATCCACCCTATTTTTGTCTCTGATAAATCAAGTGAGCAAAACATGTAGTCATTTTAACACTATGAGGCTGTATTGTGTGCAGTTATAAGGTCAAGGTAAGGAAAAAGAATGTGGTTTCTAAATATTATATGAATCATCTTTAATTTTATCTTGACCACTGAAGGTATGCTCTTTTTTTTGTCAATGGTTTAGGTAGATGTGCTGTCATGCTGAGAGAGTGACTTAGTCTCAAAGGCCTTTGGGTTCACAAGGAACAGATACTAATTCCATTATTAGTAATTGAAAGAGAAGATTGTTTTGCTTCTCTGATTGGATTCAGTTTTTAGATGCAATTTAAGTTAAGTTTTTGTGCTTTGTCGTGTAACTTTTTCAGTATTTGTCATGTGTAGAATATTCAAAGTGCTCCATACAGTGTATTGAGATACTGTAGACAAATACCTTAATAAAAGATTGATATTTCCCTAGTATGTAGTAGTGATTTAAAAAAAAAAAGTAGTTCTATTTTCCAAGTTACCTTTTCCTCTTCAGAACACATTTATGGCATTACTATATTTTCAGTGTTGCTAATACCAAGTATTAAATATAATGAGCTCTGAAAATTCAAAGTAGAATTATTTTTACCTGCCATGTTATCCTGATGTTTGAGTGCATGTTGGACGCATAGCCCTCCTCCACATCTAGAAGATGTGTGAACTTGATTTTGGGACATCTGAAATTCATGCATACTTTGTCATCATTCCAAGTGCTAGAATTCTTAATTACACTGAGAATTTGTGTTAAGATCATCAGCTGTTTGCTAAGATGCATCTGTTGTATGTGGGGTTTCAGACATCACTAGCTTCAATGTATTTGCTCTTGACTCTTGCATCCTTTAACTGCTTGAAAACGTAGTGTAAAAAGCCTTCAAAGTAGGAAAAGTCTGGAGGAAACTATTATGCCTAGGGATTTATACATGTTTAATTGTGCTTGTTTGGTAAAGCGTACAGGTGACTTAATACATTTGTTTTGTCAAAGCTATAAAAACCTAAAGAGCATATGCCTTGCTTATTGGTTGTTAGCTCAGGTTAAACAAATACTTTACAGTATTTGTTTTTTATAATCTCTCTTATGTGTCTTTCTGTCATGGGCGTCTTCTATTAAATATTTATAGTTCAATGTTCTTTTCTAAGTAATTGTAACTTATGAATAATTAAAGAACAGAATTAAGGGAGAAAAAGGCATCACTGTAGGGTTCAGAATGAGAATTTCCTATAATTGTTTGACAACTGTTAGATACATCTGAAAGTCAACAAGGAAAACACATACCAGAATCAGCAGTATCACTTGGTTAGCAAAGGTACTTGGGTTCATGTCTTTTCTGCTTGCGTAATCATTGAGCAATGGTAACATTCTGAACTAGGCAAAAAAACAATTAGAATTTTCTGCTTTATAAATAGATAATTATAAAAATTATAACAGGCTTCTAAGTAATACATCTGAAATGGCAACTCAGAAGAATTTGGAAGAATCTTTTTTTTTTTTTTTAAATCAAGTAGCATGTTTTAGAAAGTTTCATGTATTGTATTTAATTCAACACTGGATTATGTTCATGGCACTGAAGAGTTAATATTGCTAATAGTCACTCTTCTATTTGATAAAAAGTAATTTGAGTTGTCTCAAACCACAGAAATATAACAGTAGAACTTGTGAAGTTTTTTTTTTTTTTTTTTTTTGAGCTATCTTATGAAATTTGTCCAAATGTAATTATTCAAGAAGCAGACTTGAAGACACCACTTATCAATTACAATTAAGTAAATCAATTGAAGAATAGGGAGCTCAGGGACATGATTTAGCAGAGGGTTGTTAGGCTAGTATGGTTAGGTTGAGGTTGGACATGATCTTGAATGTCTTTTCCAATCTGAGCAATTCTAGGACTCTGTGAGCTATAAAGCAGAAGCAATAATCATTTTTAGAAGAAAAATATAAATTTTTATTCCTCTTACTTATTGTACTTAGATGAAGTAGCCTTTAAGGAATAATTTTACTTGTGCCTTTCTTGGAAAACACTGAGTGACAGAAAAGTACATATAAAAAAAAAAAGCACTAAGATCTCAAGAGAGCAGATGACACTTGGATTGAAATTTGGATAAAACACATGAATTGGCAGTACAGGTAGAAATGAATGCCAAATGAATGGAAGGGAAGTAGTGTAATTTACTGTGTAACTTTGTGGTGAGAGGTACGGTGGGATGACAAATACGGATGCATGAAAAAGTCCAGTCCTGTAAATTAGGTTACAATGACATATACAAATCTGCTGCTCATTTTTTATGAGCCTAAGTTTAAAGTTACACTCCTAAGTGTAAAGTAGCCTACATGGTATTCCCTTGACTGTCAATTTGAGCTTACACTGCGGAGGAGAGACAGTATACTTGTTTGCTGTACGACTAAATCAGTATTTCGTAACAAACACTGTTGTTTTCACCTACTGGCTGCATTTTCAGCATTGAAAAATATGATTGTTGCCTGCAATGGAGTTCTGTGCCCTTTTCCTTATTTTTTTATTTATTATTTAGATTTATGTAATACTTTAAAAGTATAATGGAGTACATAATAACAATGGCATTCCAAGATGCATGCTCCAGAAGCTCCTTTTTATCAGGTGGCTTACCCTGTTGTCTGTGATAAACTTTGGGAAAGATGCTAAGCAGGCTTTACCAGCAGTTAGTTGGAAGGGTATAGAGGACTGAGCCAGTACTCACACTCACCTCTTGCTGATCCTCATTCTTCTTTGTCTCTGATGCTGAAGAGGAGCAGTAGAGATGTGAGATACATTTTTGCAGATCCAGTGCTTAATCTGAAAATACAAAATCTCAAACACAATGATTGTGTGTTGTATCTATAAATTACTAACGTACTGTATTTTTGCCTTAAACTGTGAAACCTGACAGCTGTGTTACAGACATTACTTATTTTGCCAATTCAATCAAGTTGTTGTTTATGCCCGAATCAGAAAATAGAAAAATGCATTGCTTTCCAACAGCAGTAAAGACTTGCAGCTATGAATACTTGAAAAAACCTGAGATGTGATTGGAAGTGGCAGAGATACTGTACCCTTCTGCACCAACCACCGGGTGCCAGGGGCTGCTGAGGCCTTTCCCATCCCTTGGTGCCACTCTGCAGTGAGAGGAGGGGGCAGTTCTGCTGCCCTACAGCCCCCCTTAACTCTCTATGCCTAGTGCTCAGCAAAGACATGTTTGTGGTCTGCCCTGTGCTCTCACTCCGCTATGCAAACTTTGGCAATGGAGAGATAAGAGGGTGCACAGAAGTGTCATTGCAGACTCTGAAGTACCAAAAAGGAGAGTAATTCACTGTTTTTTAAATTTTATTTTATTATGTTTACTGTCCTGTCTTGAAAAGAAGTCCTAATGTAACAACTAGATTGGACCTTCATGCTGAATGTCAGACCTTCTTCCTGTCTAAAGCAAAGTCTTTTACTTCTCTAAAGATACAGCTGTCTCTGTAGCTTCTCTAACATCACCTGGAGGCTTTATGGAGCTTGGGACCATCTGCTGGGCTGCTCCTGTTGTCCTGGCACTGGAGCTCAGAGAACACCAGTCCCAGTCCTGCTGTCTTCCTTAGGGCTCACTTGGAGGCTGCAGGAATCTTGGGTCTATCCACTGGACTTCTCCTGTTGTCCTGGCACAGCAGCTCAGAGGATGCTAGTTCCAGTCCTTCCCTTTTCCTCTGAGCTCGGCAAAGAAAAGATGAGAGGTCTTAGAGGGAAGAATAAAGGATGGGGAAGAGTGTAGAAAGATCAGTAGCTGATGCAGGGGCTTTCTGGTTGTGTAATCAATGGATATTAAGATGTACAATCAGTGGATATTAAGATGTTATAATCACAAAAGAACAAGAGAGTTAGGCAAAGTAGACTAAGATAATAAGGAGAATAAATGGAAGGCTTACCTATATGGTAGGCTCACCTACAGAAAGCACCAGAAGAAGAGATCTCCAGACGAGATCCTTCCCCACTGGTAGCCAGCTCTTAAATAGGTCTAGGAGGGCTGGAGCCTGGCTCCACCCTTTCCAGTCACACAGCTGAATTGCCTTCACCTGTGCTCCTCTGGCTGGCTCATGGCTCACCTCAGGTGATCAATCAGAGGTTCAGGCCGTGACTCAGCAGTTCCCATACACTGGTGGATGGTGACTCCTCAACACTGAGATCAAATTTGAGAGCCCTGGTATACTGCTGACACACATGGCAATATCTCCAAGAACGCGTGATATTGTGGTGCCTGCCAAGCCCTGATGGAGTTGGATGCAGTACTTCCTCTGGAGGTAGGTCCATGTCCATGGACTTGACATTGCCATTGTCTTGGAGCTGCTGCTCCTCTGAAGCCAAAGCTGCTTTGGTGGGGGAAGATCCATCCTTTTTCTCTATGGCTGTTTTGGTTGGGGGGAAGGCTATGGCCTGGGAGTCGACTTAGTTGCAACAAGTGGGATTCTGCAAGACTCCATTTTCAAGCCACTTACTTATCTATAATGTTTTCAATTACTCTGATAAAGATCTGGAAGTTATATTAAGTAAATCTGTGGATGAAGCTAAATTGGGAAGTGTTGGCATCCTTGAGGCTGCAGAGACCTTGCACCAAGATCTTGCCAGATTTGAGGGTGGTCACCATACGCATGTAGAAGAGCAAGTGCTGGATTCCGAACCTGGGATGGGGCAGCCCTGGGTCTACATACTGGCTGAGGGATGAGGGGTGGGAGAGCAGCCCTGTAAAAAAGGACCTGGGGTTCTAGTTGGGAGCAAGTTGAATTTGGGCCAGCAGAGTGGCTGGGCAGCCCAAAAGGTCAACTGTACCCTTGACTGTACCAGACTCAGCACTATCAGTGGGTGAAGGAAGAGGTTGTCCTGCTCTGCTCTGCACTGTGTGTCTTCACCTTGAGCACTGTCTGCATATTAAGGTGCCACAGCATAAGGGGGAGATAAAAGCTGATAAAAGCATCTTAGGAAGGGTACAGATATGGGGAAGAGTCCAGAGAATAAGATGTGAGGAATGGCTGATGTCCCTTGGTTTGTTCAGTTCAAAGCAGATGAGGCTGACGGAAGCTCCTCGTAAGGGGAGCGCTGATCTCTTCTATCTGGTGACAGCAACAGGGCAGGAAGAAATGGCATCAGTGGCTGGTTAGGTTGGATGTTAGGAAAGGTTCTCCACCAGCAGGTGATGGGCATGGAACTGGCTGTCCATGGCAGTGGTCATAGCCCCAAGCTGCCAGTTCAAGAAGCATTTGGATAATGCTTTCAGACAAAGGATTTTAATTATGCTCTTTGCTTTGTCTGTCTGGGAAGCCAGCCTATGGAGAGGACATGGAGAAACTCCTGAAAACCTACAGTGTGGTCACAGAATCATGGAATCAGAATGGTTTGGATTGGAAAGGATATTTAAGATCATATAGTACCCTTAAGTAATTTTTAACAACTTTCTGTTGATGCAGTTTCCTCTATCACAGTTTAGGACTGATCAGTTCTTGGTTTTCATAAATAATTACTGTAGTTTATATGAGTTAGGTTAAAATACTGGGTTTCTTTAAATCTGAAATGTGTATGGTTTTGGTTTTACTTAGTTTGTGAAAACTGGATGCCTGTTTTGCTCCACTGGAAGTGTTACTCAGAAGCCTGAACATTAACTGACTCAATGAAAATAAAAACTTAGACTTCCATGCCAAGTATAACTTGGTCTTTGGCTCTCTTTAGGCTCCCAACAGTTTAGGCAGTTTCCTTTGATGCTTCTTATTTATTTTCTTTTGAGATCAGACTTTTCTTCCCTTTCCCTTTCTCACCAGTGTCAGAAGTTAATCTTTGAAACCAAATGACTCTTTATTATAACATCATCAGTGTATCCTCACTGGATATACACACATAGGAAAGAATGCTTCAGTGGTGTCATTTTTACTATTCTATTTTAATATTCAGATGCAATATTCTCAAGTTCTCTCATTATGAATATTGATCTATAAATGGAACCACATTTCTATGAGCTACAGCAGTTGCTGAACTTAATTGGCAGCATGAAACTGCAGAATGGAGAAGACTTGGTTGTTATAGGTGACTATTTAATTTATAAATGCTACTAGTCAAAATCAAACATGGTTTAAATAGTTACTACTTTATTTTCAGCAGAGTAAGTAATATCGAATTGTTTACTTTCTTTTGAAAAACATATGGAATAGACCTATATGTGCTGAGTTAATATGTAGTGAAATACCACTTTGATTTAATGTTTAGTTTTAAAAAAGCTAATTAGTGGATCCTCAAGAGGCCAAGCATGCATTTTGCTGCTGTACATGACTATGTGAAGAGATGGCTAAGCTGTTGTAGGCTCTGTTGCAGTTAAAATTGAGGCTGAGAATTAAAACTTCAGAATGCCTGTTGAAAGCTGGGGGTAACAGGAGTGCTCAGTGCAATCACTGTCTTGTCATTTACTTTTACAAAGAAAGCTGTAATTGCTTTTCTAGTTCTCTGTGTAGACACCTCCAGAGTGATTTGCAAGCACCAACGGTTACCAGTATCATCCAGTTCACTTTTCAAGATATGCTTTCAGTATGTTCAAGCTGTTAGTTTTAGTGCTGGAGTTTGGATGTTCTCTTATCCTGCTTAGCTTGTGTCGTCTTTAGGACCTGAGTGACAGAGTTCTGAGAGCAAGTAGTAGCACACATGTGAATGTGTTGGTGTCTTTGTCGGAGAAGTGTTGTTGGAGAACCTCTTAGCAGGGGTTCAGCTTTGTGACCTGCTCAGAGAGCGTTTGGACTTTCCAGAGCCTAAAGCTACTCGAGACAGAAACACAGAAACATTAAATAAACAAACAACAACAACAAAAATATTGTGTAGCTTTAGTGCACTGATGAAATGACTAAGCTCTTTTGTAAGAAGTTGTACAACTAAGTCCTTAGCCCTGACTTTATTTGCAAAAACATATCCTGCTATTTCCCCACTCATCACAGTCAGTTAACAAAGTTAAATTGTTTGCTCTAAAAATAACCTGGGATAATACAAACCATTATTCTCTGCACTTTCTAATTGCTGTTGTAGTAATGATGTCTCTCATGTAGTAATTGTGTTTTTCCTGGTGTCCCGTTTTCTTGAAGTGAAGTGGCCATGACTCTCATGACCCATGAGAGCTCTGAGAGCTTTAATTCTGTTGTTTTATGATGGTGCAGTTCTTTCTTATACCTTGCTGTTGTGTTCAGTATGCTTTTGAAATTCTTGATGTTCATCTGATCACACAGCAAATCAGTTCAGTTCACTAAAACTACAGAAAACTAATTCAGCAAACATGGGATTTTTTTTTTTGCTTCTTCAGTAAGTGAGGTAAATTCACTCTCTGAATGTGAGACAGACACTGATGCTGACCTGAGGAGCTGGGATAGGAAGAAGAAAATAAGATGCACCTGCGATAGGATGAAGAAGAGACATTTAAGGAAGGAATAGCAACAGCAAGGTGGACATAGCTCCCTTTCTTGTTGGTGTTCAGCTGTTGGCTTAGCAGTATCATGAAACCATGCAACTAGCTGATCTGAAATAATACAGATTGTTTTTGTTTGAAGTTTGAACTAAGACTTGCCCTGCATCCACGTTCCTTTAATAATAGATTTCTTTTAGCAATAAAGACAAAAAAATAATGAATTGTTACTTATGCAGCTAATCTTCATGTTTTTCTTTCCCCATCATTGTTATTTCTAACATTGTGTACTGTCTCTAATTGGAGTCAACCCACCACACACTGAAAAAATACAGTTCTCCTAAAAGAGTTCTTCAGACATCAAGTATGCCATGAATGCAAGCTTGGAAAAATATTTAAATGCTGAGCTCAAATTTAGTGATTCACAATGAGTGGGAGGCCCTGTATTTTCAAAATAGCTGGTGTTTTGTCTCCTCCCAAATGTCTGTTATTTCAGTTGAATGTTCTTTACTTTGTCTTAAATATAAATGTTGAGGACTGTGTGCTGTTGAACAGTAGCTACAATTCGATTCAGAGACTATTGTACTCAGTGTGATGCACTACATGCTGTTTCTGAAAGTGTTTGGAATTCTGTTAGCTAAACTGGTAATTACTTGGAGAGTTTTCTCCTATTTTGATTTGCACATGCCCTGCAAGCTTTGTACAGCTGTATTAAAGCACTATAATGTGCATGCTTTTTAGTGAATTTGGGTCACTGTGTTAGTGAAATTGTCATTGCAGTGACAACTTAAGAGGTACTGATATAAGCACCTTACTTATCTGGAAAGGGGAGTGTGGCTGAGTGGTGACTCATGCAGAGAGGGGCTGTACCAAGGATGTAGAGCTCCACCCTTTGAGAATATGGTTCCTAATGGGGAACTGCCTACCCTCCCTCACCGTCTTTTTTATAACCCTCTGTTCCAAAGAAGACCTTGCCTCCTGCACCCCTAAAAGATCAATCTAGTGCTTGTGCTTTTCTTGGGGAAAAGCAGAATGTGGAAACCAGAGCCATTCTGAAAGTGCAGGTTGTTGAACTGCCAATGAAAAAAAATTCAGTCTACATTAATATGTAGACATACTTGGAAGAAGAACTACTTTCATATTTTTAATTACGTGTAATTTAAAATAATTAATAGACTTGGTTTTGTGTGTTTTTTTTCCTATACTGTTAAAATAACTTAATGACTTCACTTGGTCCAGTGCCATTAATATGTATGCCTGATAGTGCATGATGCTTTTATCACTTTCAGACAGAATTTGTAGAATCATAGAATGGCTTGGATTGGAAGTGATGTTAAAAGTCATCTAGCCCAATTCCCTGCCATGGGCAGGGCTGCCACCCACCAGCTGAGGCTGCCCTGGGCCCCATCCAACCTGGCTGTGAGTGCCTTCAGAGATGAAGCATCCATAGTTTCTCTGGGCAGCTGTGCCAGTGCTTCACCACACTGAGTAAAAACTTTCTTCCTGACATCTAATCTAAATCTCTCTTCTTTCAACTTAAAGCCATTCTCCCTTGTC